GGGGGGGGGGGGGCTACTTCTGGGTGGGGATGTGCCGCTGGGACCCTGGAACCCTTAACCTATACCAGAGCTAGTTCAGCTGAATTTTGCTACCCTATACTAGAGTAAACTCCCCAAATCCCCCCTATCCCAGAGTAGCTGTTTTCCAGAAACTACTGAGGTTACTAGCACAGTCTAGCCAAAACAAGACCTTGTACCACACCTTAGTCTGGATAAAATCTTCAACCAACTGATCAGTTTCATCAAAAAGGATACCCTATTCTAGATCCAAACGCTCTAATTTATATACCCTATCCTAGAGTAAACAGCTGCTTGAAAACCATACCCTTCACAGCGGCACATACCTATATAGCCCATATATGGCAGTACCCCCCCTCCCCCCCGGGGTGATTCCTTTCCAGGGTAGGACTGCTTCATACCACCCCGCTTCACAGCGCGTCAACTGCTCACGATTCTCTATGCACTTCACGTTGGTCATCTTCAGGGGTGTCAGCAAGTCCTATCACATCCAGACCTCACAGTTTCTCGTAATCCACTGAACTGGTTTATGCAAGGAGCATGTGTGCAGAATCAATTTCCTCTCCAGGAATTATTATTACACAACTTGTGTCTGTGTGTGGCTGTGTGTGACAAAAGAAATTGTAGTGTTCTGCCACAATGATATAGACGACAAATTCAGTTACTGTTTTTAACATGAACGGATTCGATTAAAATGGTCCTGAATTCAGAAAATGTCTTTACTGCAGATTTATTTGAACAATCTTATGGGGATGATTATAAAATGTCTAAATAAAACTCTCCAGATTAAGGAGAACAATTTTTACGAACTGGAGAGCTATCTGCGGGGGAAGGTTTCGGTTGCTGGTCTTGCACCTTTGAAGCAACAAAATCCCTGATGGTACTATTGACAAGGTGAAAGTAGATTCCTCTGAATCGGTCACATTCATCAGAAAAATACGACCAGCTAGCAAGACGATAAGCGATACGCACGACCAAGCATGGCTTTCAAAAGACCACAAATAAAATAAAATATTTATTATAGCTTACACTATTATGACTAATTTATTATCGTTCCCCAATTCAAAATCTTTAAAATATCATTCTAACTGTGGAAATCAGGTTTAATCTTTCATCTTCGTTTAGCAACATCTAGACCCTTATTACAGAGGGCCACAAAAATCATTGTTTATTCAGTACATACCTCTTATCTTCCCAGAAAAGCCGGAAGTTTTCGCAAAATATTTTAGATCTAAGAAACGTTTGATTGTTGCGCACAATTGAAATAGAAACACCCAAAAAAGTTAGTGTTCCAAATGATCGAACTTAGTAGTGACGAACATTGTTAGAGTTCTGCAGTTGTCCTCAGTTTTTGCTCTAAGGGTAAGTGTTTGATTTGCGGTCCGAATAACTTCAGAAGGGTTTAGCAATCACTTTAATTTGTCCATTTTAATTTTTTCATTATCGTTAACATGTTGTGAAACGCAAAGTTTTATTCTTAATGAAGGATCTATGTAGTACAAAAAATAAGCAAATGCCACTAAGGTCTTTTATTTGGCAGTTTGGCAGTTCTCTTTGTTGTTTCCGGCGACACAAAAAATTCACATACACTTGCCAAGATATAACATATAGATTTGGCCAGGCCTAAAAGCGAAGCTCTCTTTGATATCTTAAGTTTACTAAAACAAAATATAAAAGCGTGTAATGCTAAGCGGCGACGACAACGAAAACAGCCAAAAACGATCAGTAGATCTAGTTAGCAAAATAACAACTTTGCACATGCAGCACACTTTTTTTGTACATTTCTTTGCCGTTGTTTTGCACGACTACAACGAGAAACTTCCAGAAACTTCCTGGTTACACGTTTTATGTGCTCCTGTTCACTTTTTTTTGGCTGCCACTCATTTTCACCTTGGTGGCCGCTAGCCTCTCCTTTTTCTCACCGCTGCTATAAAATTTTCATGTTTTTCTTCCAACGAAATTGGTCTCCTTTGTTTTTTATCTCTCTCTAGCTCTTTCTCATGGAAAGAAAGAATCGGCTTTGCTGTTGTTGTTTTTATCTCTAAACGTCCGGGAAGCTATGTGATTTAACGCCAAAACGCGCTAGTGCTTGAAATGTAAAATTTCATCCCGGCTTACATGAAGGGACGGACGTACGTACGGACGTATTCCGTAAGGACGACTTTCTCAGAACCCAAATTTCTTGGATACATAGATTACCAAATTTTCTTATCGATGGTGCTCCGCTATAAAAAAAAGATAGACTTTCAGTCGGGGCTTCAGACTTCCCATTTTCGGCTTCTCGTAAATAGCTGTGAAAAGCTATCTATTTTGTACCGGCTACTCACTTTTTTTTCTATTATTTTTCTTATTCTTGTTCAGTAAAATTAGCTTGTCTTCTTTCCACAAGACTAATACTTTTAAAAGGATAAATCTTTACTGACTTGTGTCAAGTTTGATGAATTAAGTAGATAAGGAAAATGGATGGAAAGTTCCCCAAGATGTGGGTTCAAGGTTTTTGTTTTTTTTTTTTTTTCCCTCCGCCCAGCAAAACTTAAGCTGAGAGGACGTTTCCCTGATTAATTTCGTACTCGCGTGCGATTCTTTAAAGGCAAAAAGTCTAGTTCTTTTACTCCAGGAAGCAGTCAAACCTCATCAATCGAGGTCAACACGTATTTAGCGGTCCCCGTCAATCAAGCGTTCACTTACCAACTTTCTATCGACAATTTATTTTAGTTGATTTTATCAGACAATCAACCTGTATTAACACACGTTTTACCGTATATGTACTGGAAGCAAAGTTTTATATGCATCTCATTAATTACTTTCTGTAGAGCCTTATACTAAGTTTCAAACAAAGCTTTGACTTGCCAATCGATTGGTTTTGTTTTATCACTCTCTGTACTATTGAGTTTAAATTTGTTAAAAAAAAGGAAAAAAATATTTAAATAATACGGTCTACAATGATCTTTAAGTCAATCAAGACTGGTGGCATCCCGGGGGGCACTCAATGGAATTCTTGGTGGTCGTGGGGTATGCCGCCCGGCTCTCCAAGTCCTGACCCTATTTCAGACCAAAAAATGTCACTTTCCACACCGTTTCAAAACCTGGCCGGTAAGAAATTATGTCGATCATAACTGATTAGAAGAAACCCTAAAAAGGTTTCTGAAAACCCATATGATTTTGCACACGTTCATATACTCCCGTTGTTCCCTCGAAAAACATACCCGAATCCAGACCAAAATCGGGCAAAAGTTTATACCTGTTTTGAGACCAAAAAGGCGCAAAAACCCTTCCCATTTGGGGCGGCACATACTCCCTCCCGGGGTAGCATGATCTATGTACGTTTATAGGCAACCACGAGCGCTTCAGAATACGGGAAAAATAAAAATATTTTCGTATGTTAGTTTGATTTGTATTTACAAAATGGAATAAACGCGTTCTTCAGATGTCTATATTTGTAGTCAACTGTGAATGCTGTCGTGTTTTTCAAGGCTTAATCTGTTTCCGGTTTTAATAAAGCCCCGTGGAATAAACACTGACAACTTTCGGTCTTTTTTCACTGTACGTGTTTGGCGATAATAAGAGCCCGAGAATTTAATTTAATTTGTTAACCAGTAAATTTCTTGTCCTAATTAAATTAGTGGCCTCTAGGTTTCGGAGGGAGCGCTTTTTTCCTTATGTATGCGTTAAAATTTATTTACAGAAATGACTTTCAGTTTTAACAGATATAATAGTGTCTATTCTGATAAATTAGCGTCCATATAAAGAGAGACAGGTGATATTCTGCTGTCGATAATCAATACCAACGGTAAACTTTATAATTTCTCTGCACTGTAATCATTTATACCGCTGTCGAGAAACGTTTTCAGTCTCTGTATACTCTACAAAAACATATCAACTCAGAATGGCGAAACTCATATAAATCATGGTTGTTTCCCAGGGTGTTCTCCTACTCGGAGGGAACACTCTGGGAACGAAGTTAAATATAAACACACCCCTAAGTCAAATAACTCTTTTTAGTATATACTAAAACAGTGGATAGTGTTTTTCGCGCGCTCTGATTGGCTACTCAATCAGTAAATATCCTGCACTATTCACTGATTCACCTCCAGTTCCTCCGAGGGAGCGACGCCAAACTCGCGTAGGTTAAGAGTAAAATGCTTTCCCGGTTTGCTGCCGTAACAAACTAAGAAATTTCACAACTAATCAAGCAAGCTATTTCCGAAATACATGAAGAAGGTGACGAAGTTCGGTTTGGAAGTTTTAACAGGTAAAGCTTTTTGTCTTTTTGACTTGAATTTATCGATAAAACCGGTGAAAAAGTTTTTTGCTTACAAATGCAAATTAAGCTTAAGTCTTGCGTTACTTTATTTAGTTGACTTGTTCATAAATAAGCTTAAAACTAAATTTAATAATCTTTTTTACAGAATTATTTTAAATACAAAAAGAATTCACGACTCCTTTTGAAGAAACTTCCCCGCAAGACCTAAACAAACGCCTTTAAAAGTTTTATTTGTCGCTAAGTTAGTGAGTTAAAAATCATCATTTTTGTGCTCAATTATCTCACTGTTTTAGTATATACTAAAACAATTACTCACCTCAGTGTCGGTGGCTAGTATTGGATATTTACCTCGCCGCTTCGCGGCCTCGGTAAATACCTAATACTAGCCACCTCCACTTCGGTGAATAATTGTTATCTAGTCCAAATATGGCACACTAAGTACTCCATATAACTCGATACCAGCCAGGGACATAGCATGCGTGCCTGGCACACTGGTCGACATGTCTTTTATGTGGACTATCTTGAACTGGCGGTAAGCTCTTACTTCTCCTTTCACAGACCACGTTTTTGTTTTATATGACAAGTCTTTATTTCCTGACAGCATATGTGAAAAACGCTGCGACCTCCAATCAACTTGATGATGCCTGCCCAGCAAACACCAATCATCGTCATTACAAAGCCTGCCAAGGAGTTCAAAGTTTTGAAGAAAGTTTCTGTCATTGCATCCGAGCTGCCTCACAGTGTAGTCGGTAAGCCGCAGCGTGTAGTAATCTCCCAAATCCAGACACCATCCAGATCGTGTGGAACTGTTGCCGGGAGTGAAATATTCCAAGATATTTTCAGGGTCTCCACGACCATTACCATCGCAGTAGCTTACTTTCACTCCGGAAGACGGTACTCGAGCAGGATTCAGCCACATACTGACTCCAGCATTGAAACCGAGGTAGTGAATACACCTTTAGTATCGAAATCTCCCTCATACCTTAAAATGATCTGAACCAAAAACAACAGAAAAACAGTAAAAGGAAATGTAAAGATAATAAGGAATCGCACAATGTTGTCCTCTTAGCTTGGAAGAAACATAACTATTGAACTATTGTACTAAGGTTGTCTGCAAAACAATTCAAACCCGCATGAAAATCTAAGGAAACCGTTTATGGCATGAAGTTCTTCTTAATTAAAAATTCAGTGATTTCATATATTCATAGATCATAAACATTGCACTTTCTGAGAATCAAAGACGGGAAGCATAAAAAAAAAACAGTCAAGTGAAAAGTCTCAAATCCTGTTACACTGTAGAAATGAGAAAAAGTGGTAACAGTTTGACTGTTCTTACATTCTTTAGTTTGTGATGATTCGCTTCTTAGCCGTGTCGAAGTTCTGCTTTTTTGACACCGAGAAGTCCGTTTACACTCCACTCGTCGCGACTGTCTTCCCGATGAGTCATCAAATGGCTCTTCAAAATCATCCTTAGAACTTTGCAGACCGGACAATCGTCCTACGTAAAGAAAGAGAAAATGTTATTTTGTTAGTAATCTTGTTGTCAATCTAATTGTTTTGCGAATTACAATAAATACAAAGAAAAGAGACTAGCAAAACTGTTCGGTATAACGAGGTTTCGTTAAATAGGAGCTTCTTTTACTATTGCTTTTCTCATACTCCGTTCGTCATAAGGTAACGAGTACTTAGTTATATATAGATTTGTTATATCGACGTTCCACTGTACTGCTACAACGTACTTCCGCCAGAGGTAATGAAGAAACTATAATCACCTCCACAGCTCTTATACCCTTAAGGCTGGGCCTCGGATTTCGCAGCGTACCGCGCAGAAATTATAAGGGAGCGAGAAATATTTTGAACAAAGTCAGCAAGTTTTCAAAATTTGGCAGAATCGCCAAGAAGTCAGTCAAAAAATGGCCAGTATCTTTCATTCCGCATTCAATTTACAATGTAGTGATGAGAGAGAGAAGAGACCCCTGACTATCTTATGCTTTGTTGAGGGCTATAAAAGAGGAGACTACCCGAAAGGGTTTTCTCCAAGCCACAACCCATTTTCAAGAAAAATATCCGAATGAAAGCAGAGGGATACACTTCTGTGCACTGTATAATATCTACGCTTTTGCTGTATTGATTAATATGGGACTATTTGCAAGTATGACATAAAGCGATACTGTTTTTTTGTTTTTTGTTTTTTTGTTTGTTTTTTTTTAACACTAACCTTCACGTGTGTCGTTCCTTTGATATAGCTTGCTTGAATTTTCCGGCAAGTTTGCGTCCTGTAACGCTGTCCGCAACAGTTGCAGCTGTGCTTCTAAGTTCTCACACTTGTGTAAATAAAGTTTGTTCACCTCCAATTCCGAACTCTGCAGTTTGGTCTTTCCACAAGATTTCGCGGAGTTTCGACTTCTTCGAGTTCGGTTTCAAGTTCAGCGACTCGGTTGTCTTCTGCAGAGAGAAAAAAGACAAAACCGAAACTAAAAAAAACAACACACCGTTCCTCTTAAGGCATCTAGGTTTATAAGTTTGATAATCGCCAAGTTAAAGACTGTTCTTTGATTTTTACTTAAGCTGAAACCACCTATCAGGCTCCCCAGAAGGTCTCACGGGAGAGCAAGCAGAGAGGAAGGAAATGAAAACATCGGTTGTAGTTTAGTGAAGAAAAATAGAAAGAACTTCACTGAAGCGTGTGTAAACCGCCGAGGGCCTCTTTTTGCAGCATATTTTAGATCGGGTGTAACAGATAGGATGCCGGGGGGATTCTGTATAAAGCGGAAAAGTTTCGGTGAGAGATGATAAAACATAATTCTTTGGTTTGCCTTGCAGAGAACAAGTAGGGTGGCATATAAAACACTTGAAGGTATACAAGTAGTTACACGTGCAGGTGAGGGAGGCGTTTAAGATATCTAAGCTCTTCTGTATATAGCCTGTAGAGTTTCAGCGCATGTGGCGCTTAGAAGCGTCGTGCTTCGTTTGATCAGAGCTTGAACTTCTCACATTTAATTGTTTCATGAAACGTTCTGGGTCAACTGTTTTTATTTAAGCCTCTAATTAAACTTCTTATACTTACGTAAACGTTTGTTCTCTTCAAAATGCTGCGAATTGATTTTTAGTTCCTCTGTTTGGATTTTCAAATTTTCGAGCTCAATTTCGAGTTCTAAGAGCCTCTTGTTCTCTGCAGAAGAAATAAAATATTAAAAACATTCAAGACGTTTTGTTCTTGTTAATATATTTACAAAAGATCAACGATCGAGTCAGAAAATGAGGCCCCTTTTACATGGGGAAAGGTTGCCACGGGTAGAAGAGTCACGCTACCTCCGGCGAGCCAAACGAACAAAACGTGACGATCCGTTGACATGAGAAACAAGAACACAAACTCGGCTGTGATGGTGGTGCCACCCTCCGAGCCGGGCCACCTTTTTAGGGAGCTTAAGCAACGACGAGGGCGACGACAACGAGAACGGCAAAGAAGCAATGGGTTTAAATTGGCAAAACAACAACTTTGNTTTTTTTTTCCTTCAACACTAACCTTCAAGTGTGTCGTTCCTTTGATCGAGCTGGCTTGAATTTTCCGGCAAGTTTGCGTCCTGTAACGCTGTCCGCAACAGTTGCAGCTGTGCTTCTAAGTTCTCACACTTATGTAAGAGTTTGTTCACCTCCAATTCTGAACTCTGTAGTTTGGTCTTTAGCTCATTTGTCTGTGTTTCTAACGCTTCACACTTGATGGACTGTTTGCTTTTCTCTTGTTCCACAAGATCTCGCAGAGTTTTAACTTCTTCGAGTTCGGTTTCAAGTTCAGCGACTCGGTTGTCTTCTGCAGAGAGAAAAAAGACAAAACCCAAACAAAAAAAAACAACAACACACCGTTCCTCTTAAGGCATCTAGGTTTATAAGTTTGATAATTTCCAAGTTAAAGATTGTTCTTTGATTTTTACTTAAGCTGAAACCACCTATCAGGCTGCCCAGAAGATCCCACGGGAGAGCAAGCAAAGATCATGAGGAAGGAAATGAAAACGGCGGTTATAGTTTAGTGAAGAAAAATAAAAAAGAACTTCACTGAAGCGTGTGTTGCGAGGGCTTCTTTTTGCAGCACATTATAGGTGGAGCGTAACAGATAGGATGCTGGGGGAATTCCGTGTAAAGCGGAGGAGTTTCGGTGAGAGATGATAAAACATAATTCTTTGTTCTGCCTTGCAGAGCACAAGGAGGGTGGCATATAAAACACTTGAAGGTATACAAGTAGTAAAACGTGAAGGTGAGGGAGGCGTTTAAGATGTCTAGGCACTTCTGTATATAGGCTGTATAGTTTCAGCGCATGTGGCGCTTAGATTAGCGTCGTGATTCCTTTGATCAGAGCTGAGCTTCTCACATTTAATTTTTTCATGAATAAACGTCCTGGGTCAACTGCTTTTATTTAAGCCTCTAATTAAACTTCTTATACTCACGTAAACGTTTGTTCTCTTCGAAACGCTGCAAATTGGTTTTCAGTTCCTCTGTTTGGATTTTCAAATTTTCGAGTTCAATTTCGAGTTCTAAGAGCCTCTTGTTCTCTGCATAAGAAATAAAATAAAAACATTCAAGACGTATTGTTCTTGTTCGCATACAAAAGATCAACGCCCCTAGCTGTGGAAGACAGTCGGATCATCGGATGACCTGAAACCACTAAATAGCTTTTTGATAATTGTGCAACGGCAAAATAAATTGAGTAGGAAAATGAGGCTCCATTTACATAGAGAAAGATTGCGCTACCTAGGGCGAGTCAAACGAACAAAACGTGACGATCCGTTTACGGAATAAGAGAGATTAAGTTTGACTAAGCGCGAATTCTCTGTTTGATTGACGTTTTCGTAGCCGTCGCCGTCCTTGTTGTTTAAGCTCGATCCTAATCGCTTTGGTTCAATCAAGACGAGACAATCAGAGCATCCGCGAGCGCTGTTTGCTTGGGCAAAAAGATCATTCATATAAACGCTCGCTAAAGCTGACTCGGTTAGGAGGGTGACCCTTCTACCCGGAACAGGTTTTCTCCATATAAACGAGGCCTAAGAAACAGAAAA